CTCTGAGCATGCGCCGTTTGGGACGCATGCGCCCAAGCAGTACGCATGCGCATCCGGGTTCCCGAGGCGCAGTGGCGTCCCCGGAGCCCCGGAGAGCGCGCGCGTCCGTCCGTGCAGGGTTCCTCTGTGTGTGCCATGGGACTCCTACCGCAATGCACGGGTGGCATTGTCCGGTGAATTTGGGGCTGGAGGGGAGGTAGGGTCTGGCGTGCATTGCGAGCTTGAGTTTTACCACGTTTTAAAGTGGCTACTTTAATTCGGCGAACACACACTGTGGACCGTGCTTTAAAATAAAAGGCTGGATTGCTGAGCTCTGACACCTGTGAAATCCTATTTAGAATATTATAAACTGGTTCGTCACTGTTCCGTTATGGATAGGAAAACTATCAACAGTTACTGGTTGCTCGGATGGGATGTGGCATTTTTTTAAGTGGTAGGTTGCCACCATGCTCAGGCAACTGTGACAGTGAAACTCAGTGGATCACACACAAACATACACACACGAAAGGACACTCAGGTCTTCAACAAGAGTTTCAGTAAGACAGGAGGACGATGAGGGTCGTGAAAGTTACCCAAGCTCATCATAACTTTTGAAAATGTGAAAGAATAAAAATAAGAGAATTTCTTACTCTGAAACTTAAAAGGGGATAAGTTAATTATAACATCTTGGTTATGTTTTTACTGTTTCTTTGCTATAAAATGTCTGGGTTGTAGCCTACATCCGTTCCTACAACACAATGATTTATAAAAAATAATATACTTTTTATAAATTGGTCCCTGTGACAGTTACTACATCAGAGTTAGATGAGATTTTAAAAATAGGAATGTGGTACAGGGGATTTGGATTAAACCAGTTCTTTGAATGTATGTTAATAGAAACAGAGCATGCAAAGGCAGAGGAGTAGAAGAGGGAGAAAGGGGATAAGAAACACATACTTAGCAGAAAAGCATATAAGAAATGTTTGTAGTAAGATTGTAATGACTAAAAGTAGAATACTTATGTGGTGTTGTTTTCCTATAGTAAGATACTATGTAGCAATAAGAAATGATTGCCACAGTCAGGGTAAGTCCATGCTTTTGATTCCAAGACCCAAGAGGCTGAGCAAGGAAGACTACCATGAATTCAAGGTCAGGCTGGGCCACTCTGTAGGACCCTGTTCCAAAAACTCAGAAACAAATACATACAAAAACAAAAACAATGAGTTAACTTTTATGAATTTATTGGATTGATGGATGTCATAAATGTTAAGCAAAAGAAGTCAAATAAAAAGATGATACTCACTGTATTACTTTCATAATCTCAAAAATAACCAAGACTTTAACTTATTGCTCTCTGGATTATCATTAGGACTAGAGTGCAGATACCAACATCTACCATGTAACAAGCTCTGTGTTCCCTGAATGCCTGTAACCTCCCACACACGCACACATCTTTAAACAAGTTAACAAAGAGTAGTAGAATTCAAGGATACAGATAAATAGTTTGTCGTTCTGGTGTTGCTTACAAAGATGTGTTCACCTTGTGAAAATGAATTTAAATTTCAGTGTTGGGTTTTAAAATGTTTAAAACCAAACATTAAACAGAAACCTGTGTTTACTTTCAGTGGAAAGATACTATTGCTTCTCAAATTTTATAAACACAATGTTACCTTTGTTTAATTTATATGAGAAATGTCCCTCATAGGTTCATGTTTTTGAGCAGTTATTCCTTAGTTGAGAATGCTCCTTAGGGAAGTTCTAAAGGAGGGACAGGGGGCCTCTCTAGCTGAAACAGAGGCTCGGGATAAGGACTTCCATGTTTCCATGCACCTGAGCTCTCTGCTCTCTCGCTGCCAGTGTAATCAGTTGCCCTAGACTTGCCTCTACCTCAGCACCCTGTCTCGAGCCCTTACCAGGTTTTGACCTGGGAGGAATGACAAACTCAGCTAGTTGGTTTAAGAGTATAAGTTTTACTTCACACTTATGTCAAAGCAACACACAAGCATAAGCAAACAATCCTAAGAACCACAGACAATAGGCTCACAGCAGGGGGTATCTCTCCTGCCGCGGCCCGCAGGTTCAGGCTCGGGACTTCCGCTCCTCTGGATTCGGGCCCTCAGGAGACTCGAGGGCCCCGGGGTCGTGGAGTCGGGCTCAGAACTGGCAGCACTCAGCTGGATGGACTGGTTGTCTTAGATTAGCGAAGGAGAGCTCCAGGACATAGAGTCGTGGTGCACTCTAAAATTCCTAGTTTTGAGCTGGTCCTTAAATAATTCGCTAAATCGTGCTAATCACACTTTGCCACACTTCACACATTTTCACTTTTATCTACAACGGCTGGGCTGCGTGGTGGGCCTATGCTCAGCCAGGCCTTGGCCTGCCTGGTTTGTAGCCTCTGTGCTAATCTCCCTCCAGCCAGGCCTTTGCCTGCCTGGTTAAAAGGCTCCCCACACAACTGTATTTGTAGCAGAAATTAATAGGATGAACAACTTGAAATTGGTATTAGAAATAAAGAAAAATTCAAAGTTGAAATAGATTTAAAAATTAGCCTTTAGAAAAATCAATTCAGATTTGAAATCATTCCATAAAGAAAGCAGTAGACTCTGTTTCTAAAATGTGCTGATCTATTACCTATTTTTATTTAAGAAAAACAGTAGTTACTGATAATTTTTCAGCAAAAACAAAACAAGTAGGAGAAGATCTATTGGGGGTGATTCACAAGATAAATAAGTCACATGATGTTATCAGTGTAAACCAGTGGTATAATTCTGAATCCTAAAAACTCAGGGCAGGCAGTAGCAACAGAATGATGTCCCAGCACATTGTGTATTGCATTCCCATTACCTTTTTGTACTATCAAAGATGAATGTGAGTGATGCCCACCCACCCTGAAGAAAACTGCCTACTTTCATAAGTTTCTTACTCAGTTGATAAATCCTTTCAGAAACATTTTCACAGACATGCTCAGAATAACATTTTATGTACCTGGCTGAAAATGCTTTAATGCAGCACTTTGGCACATAAAAGTAGCTATCAAATTGTTTCAAACTTCCCAAGAATAGGAGCAATAGAGAACATTCATCAATTCATAAAACAAGGCTAGGACTGGAGAGATGGATGGCTCAGCGCTTAAGAGCCATGGCTGCTCTTCCAGAGGTCCTCAGTTCAATTTCCAGCAACCTCATGGTGGTTCACAAACATGCCCTCTTCTGGCCTGCAGGCATACATGCAGGCAGAAGGCTGTATACATAGTAAATAAATCTTCAAAACAAAACAAAAAATAAGCAAGATCAGTAGAAAGTTAATATAAAACCTAAAAGAGGCAAGTGTGAGAAAGAATATTATAAAGATAATTTACGTAAGAGCAGAATAGAAAAGGTGTCCTTAAGGAAAGCCCATAGGCTCATATATTTGCTTGTTTGGTCTCTAGTTTTGGGATTGTCTGAGAGGGATTAGGAGGTATGGCATGTTGGAGGAGGTGTGTCACTAGGTGGGCTTTGAAGTTTCAAAAGCCCACAACATTCCCAGTTAGCTCTTTCTGTGTCATGCTTGTGTTTCAGATGTAAGCGTTCAGCTGCTGCTCTTCCTGCCTGTTGCTGTGCTCCCCACTCGCCCTCTGAAACTGTAAGTCTCCATTAAAATTTTCTTCTAGAAATTGTTTGGTCACGGTGTCTCTTCAAGGTGATACAAAAGTATCCCCTAGCTGAGGAGATACTGGGAACTGATAGCTACTTGTTGAGGGAGAGTCTGTTTTCTTTAAGGGTGTGACTCCCTTTAGGCCAATCATACTCTAATGGATGGCCACACACCTTTGAGTAAATGTGCAGTACAAATTGGAGTCGTGTCATGGGTTTTAAAGAAATAAGGACACCCAGCTATGAGGATGTTGTAGCTGTAACCTTGGGGCAGTAAGCTGTAGGATATGGTCTTATCTGCTACTTGACACCTGATAAGCTGGGGGTGGGGGTAGCAGCTCTCTTGCTCTGGCAGAGAGGTGGTACAAGGTCAGCAGCAGCATCTGCTTTGTTCTGTATCTGTGAGTCTGTCTTTCATTGCACCCCTTAATAAATTGGTTACATACTTTTGTGGTTTCTTGCTTCACCTGGTGCCCAACTTTGGGCTATAGCCCACCACACTGAGATTAAGAGTCTCATGCTCTTCCGACTGAGCTGGGCTAGAATTACAGGTTAATAATCACCCATGTTTGTATGTTACGTTAGTTAGGTTCTCTAGATGGACAGAGATGTACTCTTCATAGGTAGGTCATCTTCAAACACTTCAAAGACCTACAGATATGGCATTTAAATGTTTTAATAATTTAGAACACTGTTGATATGAGACACAACTTCACCTGGCAGCATTGAGTTACTCCCGAGAGAATGATGGCCGCCAGAGACACTCCAAATGGAGCTTGTTTTCTTTTTCTTCTTGGCAAAACTGGCCTATAAGGCAAAGAACTGCCCTTGCCTCAACTGCTGACAGTAAGAATGCTGTCCAATCTAGATGAGCAGGATACAAGGAAAAGTGACTGCTGACCCTTGCTAAGACAGGGAGGGATAGGGGAGGACCTTCTGTGTCTATGATTGTCTTATGGTTGATAAATAAAGTACTGTTGGCCAATAGGAAGACAAGATAGGTGGGGCTAGAAGTCAGGAGGATTCTGGGAAAGGTGGGAGAAAGCACAGAGTCACCATGTGAGCCCTGGGAGACAGGACGCTTGCCGCTGGCGTCTGGCAAGATAAGTCTTATAAAATATATAGATTTATGATCATTAAGACTGAGCTAGCAGATGAGAAATCCTAGTCTTTGGCCAAGCAACATTTGTAGCTAATATAAGTCTCTGTATGTTACTTGGGACCTTAATGTGGTGGCAGGCAGAACTTGGGCGGCCTGGCAGAAAGTGGCAGCAGGGTTCTGGCGGCTTGATGGAAAGACTTATTGTTACAGGGTAGAACAGTCTTTCAAAATTTCCTGCTTCTGAAAAGGGTCTGTCAGGTATTCTAGGCCTGTAGGCCAAAGATGGATGCCCCTACATTGCAAAGGAAACTTGACTGTCCAGGTAGCCAGCTGTTTCTGTCATTTCTTGCATCTTTTGGGAGTATCTTGCTTGCACATCCTGCTTACTCAGGTAATGTTAGTTTCCTTCTCAGGTCTTTGATGGAGCTGAAGACTAGATGGTCACAGTTAATATTTTTCTCTTAGTTAAGGTATATTAGATACAAGAATTAGACTCTTCAGGATAAGACAGCTGTTGGAATAATCTCTGTTATTTGCCAATCACCTATAGTCTGAACATTTAGTATGTGTTTCTTGCTTGATGTTGTTCTTGTTGGTTGTAGTTCCATTTTTGTTATTACCCTTTCTTTCTCCTGCACAATACTTGATAATTGTTCTTATTGTAATAGTTTTGTATTAAGTTTAGAACCTTCTTAATTAGACAAAAGAGGAAAGTGTTGTGGAAACTCATTTTGCCAATAGCCTTGGGGCATGGTCTTGTCTGCTATGTGACAACTGATAAGCTGAGGGGAAGCACAGTCTCACTCTGGCTCATGCTTGGCATGGTCTGAGACCAAGCACCAGAGAGGTAGGGAGGGATCAGTGGCAGCATCTGCCTTGCTCTGTATCTGTGAGTTTGTATTTCATTGCACCCCTTAATAAATGGGTTATCCTACTTTTGTGGGTTCTTGCTTCATGAGGATATGTAGGTGGTGTGAATCTTGGAGGAGTTCGAAGGATTGTGCTGTGTCCTGTGCTACTTGGCTTCTGTATCCTTGGCTGGGGGCAGCAGAGGAATGAAAAGAAGGACAGACACAAAGACTCACAAGCAATGAAGCTAGGATTGGATGAGGATTCTCTAACCCTATGGCCAGAAACTGGAACCTCATCCTGTTTATTAAGTACAGCACAAGGGAAGGAGTTAGCTACTCTTGATGGGATGTTTCTGTTTACAGGCAGTCTGAGGTTACAAACATCCAGAGGAAGCTTCAGTTGCTAGTCTTTGCACACACTCATCAATCTTTCTTAATTGCTCCTGAAGGAAGTGTTGCCATCCTTTTTGAGCCTGACCCACATTGGTAACAGTTTTGACAATTTACCTGGGCCTGCTGGTCTTGGAGCCCTTAATCGGATGGGCTTATGTCACATTACACATTTCCTCAACACTTCACTCACTCGGGGCTTCTTCTGCTCCCTAAAGGAGGGGCTGAATATGACCAAAATACAATGTATGAAATTCTCAAGGAGTTACTATAAACAGAAAAGATAATCCTAATAAACTAGATAACAGTGGAATGCTGGTGTAGTGGTGGTTGCCAACCTATGTGGTTTGAAGTAGCACATATTTTGAAGTCAGCTATAGATAAAAAAAAAAAAAAAAACTTTTTACTTCAATCGAGAACTCTAGGGGCTAGAAGAAACTGCACACTTACGTCAGGTTTATGAAAAATGCAGGTGCTCCTTTTACACTGACATAAGGTAAATTCAGTTTAGACTCTCCTTCAGTTGAGCTGAATATAGCAGTGTGAAAATTGAAGGGAAGTTAATTCAGTTTTAAATTGCTGCTTGCAGAATTAATAAGAGTCAAACTAAGTTCAGGCTGTCTTTTGGTTGAGTCTCCAGCTCTCAAATGGAACCCCATGCAAAAGACCTGGACAAGCTTTTGAAGAGGCAGCTAACACTATCAGTTACACTGCAATGCAGACCATCCACAAGTGACAAGTTGCCAATGAAAGATATGAAAGGATTATTCTTTTGAAGGCATCTTGCAAAAATGTTATAGGTATTGTGTTCATGAACCTCTGCTAAAATAACTCCTGAGAAGTTTATATAAGTAATTTATACCTAAGTTGATTCCTAATAAGTTAGTGGATGTGTGACTATGCACCACCTTGTGTCTTTCGTTGGCTGCTATCTTTGTGGATGATCCAATGAGAATTCCAATATAGAAGGATGACTGACCCATGCTGCTTTCCTTGTTTTTCAGATTGTCTATTGAAGAGTTCTCCCGTGCAGAATGCACTGGACTGACAGTATGGCAGTGAAATGAATCTCTGTGGCATGACACTCAGGGAAATGATGGATTCTGGATCTCAGAGCCTACCATTTCTGACCCCATGCATAATTTTGTTCTTTTGATTAGAAAGGGGCAGAGGAAATAGATTCCATATCAGAATTTATTGAAAAAGTGATAGTTCCAGAAGGAAGAGGAAGATCAAAAAGAAACGCAAAAGGAGGAGGAAAAGGCTGGGAGAATTAAAGTGCAAGAATTTTAAGATGGAATGGTGTGGAATTGGCAGGTTGCCCACCAAAACCTAGATGCAATCTATATGAAGCTAGTGCAACATTATAGCTTACCTTCAACTCCCTTGTTATGACAATGCTCAGGGAACTCTGGCCTGTGAGGGTGACCTAGGCAAGGGGGACAAACAGGGCAGACAGACAGAGCTTAGGTAAGAAGGTCTGTTATAAATAAGAAAGGGGGAGGGAAAAGAGGTAAAGAGACACAGAGACAGAGCAAGGATAGAACAGAAGAGGGAGACAGGAAAAGTACGGTCTGCCCCAGGGAACCAGCAGGAAATAGAGAGGGAAACAGAGCAAAAGTGGGCAGGGGTCTTTCCTTTTTTTTTTTTAATTAGAAACAAGCTTGTTTTAATTGTCAATCCCAGTTCCCTTTCCCATCCCTCATCCTCTGCCTCCCCTCACCCCCCATCCCAACCTTTTTCTGCTCTCCAGGGAGGGTGAGACCTTCCGTGGGGAATCTTCAAAGTCATGTCATTTGGAGCAGGACCTAGACCTTCCCTGTGTGTTTAGGCTGACAGAGAATCCCTCTATGTAGAGAGGGCTCCCAAAGTCCATTTGTATACTAGGGAAAAATATTGATCCACTACCAAAGGCCCCATAGATTTCCCAGACCTCCAAACTGACATTCTCGCTGAGGGGGTCTGGATCAGTCCTATGCTGGTTTCCCAGCTATGAGTCTGGGGTCCATGAGCTCCCCCTTGTTCAGGTCATCTGTCCCTGTGGGTTTCTCCAGTCTGGTCCTGACCCTATTGCTCATCACTCCTCCCTCTCTGCACCTGGATTCCAGAGTTCAGCTCAGTGTTTAGCTGTGGGTGTCTGCTCTGCTTCCATCAGCTCCTGGATGAAGGCTCTAGGATGGCATGTAAGTTAGTCACCAATCTCATTATCGGAGAAGAGCATTTAAGGTAGCCTTTCAACCACTGCTTAGATTGTTAGCTGGGGTCAAACTTGTAGATCTCTGGACATTTCCCTAGTGCCAGAATTCTCTTTAAACCTATAATGGCTCCTCTATTGTGGTATCTCTTTTCTTGCTCTCAATTCTTCCCCTGACTGAATCTTTCTGCTCTCTCGTGTACTCCACTTCTCCACTTCTCTTTCTTTTAGCTCCCTCTCCCCTCCCCCCATGCTCCCAAATATCTCAGGAATTCTTGTCCTTTTCCCCTTCTCTAGGGGGCCGTGTATGTCTCTCTTAGGGTCCTCTTTCTTTCCTAGCTTCTCTGGAGGTGTTGATTGTAGGCTGGTAATCCTTCGCTCTATGTCTAAAGTCCATATATGAGCGAGTACATAGAATTTTTGTCTTTTTGTGACTGGGTTACCTCACTCAGGATGGTATATTCTACTTCCATCCATTTTCCTGCAAATTTCAAGATTCCATGTTTTTCCACTGAGTAGTACTCCATTGTGTAAATATACCACATTTTCTCTATCCATTCTTCAGTTGAGGGGCATCTAGGTTGCTTCCAGTTTCTGGCTATTACAAATAATGCTGCTATGAACATGGTTGAGCAGATGTCCTTGTTGTCAGAATGTGCTTCTTTTGGGTATATGCCTTAGAGTGGTATTGCTGGATCTTGTGGTAGACTGATTCCCATTTTCCTGAGGAAACTCCATACTTATTTCCAAAGTGGCTATATGAGTTGGCACTCCCACCAGCAATGGAGGAGTGTTCACCTTTCTCCACATCTGCTCCAGCATTAGCTATCATTCGTGGTTTTTATTTTTAGCCATTCTGACAGGAGTAAGATGGTATCTCAGAGTTGTTTTGATTTGCATTTCCCTGATGGCTAAGGATGTTGAGCACTTTCTTATGTGTCTTTCAGCCATGTTAGATTTCTCCATTGAGAATTATCTACTTAGTTCTGTACCCCACTTTTTAATTGGATTAGTTGGTGTTTTGGTGACTAGATTCTTGAGTTTTTTGTATATTTTGGAAATCAGCCCTCTGTCAGATGTGGGGTTGGTGAAGATCTTTTTTCCATTCTGTGGGATGCCTTTTTGTTTTGTTGACTGTGTCCTTTGCCTTACAAAACTGATCTCAGTGTCTGTGCTACTGGTGTTATGTTCAGGAAGTAGTCCCTTGTACCAATTCATTCTAGGGTACCTCTCCTCTAATAGGTTCAGTGTGGCTGGATTTGTGTTGAAGTCTTTGACCCATTCGGTCTTCAGTTTTATGCATGTCGATAGTTATGGAACTATGTGCCAGCATCCAGTTATGCCAACACCATTTGTTGAAGATGCTTTCTTTTTTCCATTTTTATACTTTTAGCTTCTTTGTCAAAAATCAGATAATCACAGCTGTGTGGGTTAATATCAGGGTTTTCAATTCAATTCCACTGGTCTATTGTTTATTTTCTGTGCCAATACCTAGCTGTTTTCAGGACTATAGCTCTATAATAGAGCTTGAAGTCAGGGATGGTGATGCCTCCAGATATTCCTTTATTATACAGGGTTGTTTTGGCAATCCTGGGTCTTTTATTTTTCCATATAAAGTTGAGAGTTGTTATTTCAAGGTCTGTGAAGAATTGTGCTGGGATTTTGATGCGAATTGCATTGAATCTATAGACTGCATTTGGCAAGATTGCCATTTTGACTGTGCTGATCCTACCCATCCAAGAACATGGGAGATCTTTCCATTTTCTGGTGTCTTCTTTAATTTCTTTCTTTAAAGACTCAAAGTTCTTGCAATACAGGTTTTTCACTTGTTTGCTTAGTGTTACCCCAAGGTATTTTATGTTGTTTGTGGATATTGTGAAGGGTGATGTTTCTTTGATTTCTTTCCCAGCCCATTTATTGTCTGTATATAGTAGGGCAACAGATTTTTTTTGAGTTAATCTTGTATCCTGCCACTTTGCTAAAGGTGTTTAACAGTTGTAGGAATTCCCTGGTAGAGTTTTTTTGGTCACTTATGTAAACCAGCATATCATCTGCAAATAGTGAAAGTCTGACCTCTTCTTTTCCAATTTGTATCCCATTGATCTCCTTTTGTTGTCTTATTGCTCTAGCTACAACTTCAAGCACGATATTGAAGAGGTACGGAGAGAATGACAGCCTTGTCTTGTTCCCGATTTTAGAGGAATCACCTTGAGATTTTGTCCATGTAGTTTGATCTTGGCTGTTGGTTTACTGTATATTGCTTTTGTTATGTTTAGGTATGTTCATGTTGTTTCTGATCTCTCCAAGGTCTTTATCATGAAGGGATGTTGGATTTTGTCAAAGGCTTTTTCAGCATCTAATAAGATGATCATGTGATTTTTCTTTCTCAGTTTGTTTATGTGGTGGATTATATTGATGGGTTTTCATATGTTGAACCATCCCTGCATCGCTGGGGTGAAGCCTACTTGATCATGGTGGATGATTTTTCTGATGTGTTCTTGGATTAGATTTGCCAGTATTTTATTGAGTATTTTTGCATCAATGTTCATGAGGAATATTGGTCTATACCTCTCTTTCTTGGCTGTGTCTTTGTATGGCTTGGGTACCAAGGTTATTGAAGCCTCGTAAAAGGAGGTTGGCAATGACCCTTCTGCATCTATTGTGTGGAACACTTTGAGGAGCATTGGTATTACATATTCTTTGAATTTCTGGTAGAATTCTGCACTGAAGCCATTTGGCATTGGGCTTTTTTTGGTTGGAAGTTTTTTGATGACTGTTTCTAGTTCATTAGGGGTTATGGGTCTCTTTATGACATTCATTGCATTCATAAGGTTTCTCTCCAGTATGTATTCTCTTATGCATTTGAACTATCAGAAAATTTTCCATTTACTTTAGATTTTCAAATTTTGAGTAGTACAGATTTTCAAAGTATGACCTAATGATTCTCTGGATTTCCTCAGAGTCCCCTGTTATGTCCCCCTTTTCATTTCTGATTTTGTTACTTGTGCATGTTCATTCTCTGCCCTTTGGTAAGTTTGCAAAAAGGTTTATCTATCTTGTTGATTTTCTCAGAGAACCAGCTCTTCATTACATTGATTCTTTGGATGGTTTTCCTAGTTTCTACTTTATTGTTTTTAGCCCTCAATTTGATTATTTCCTGGCATACACTCCTCTGGGGTGATTTTGCTTCTTTTTGTTCTAGAACTTTCAGTTGTGCTGTCAAGTCTCTAGTGGAACTATTCTCCAGTTTCTTCGTCTGGGCATTTAGAGCTATGACCTTTCCTCTTAACACTTAACCTCAAAGTGTCCTGTAAGTTTGGGTATGTTGTGCTTCATTCTCATTGAATTTCAGGAAGTCTTTAATTTCTTTTTTTATTTCTTCCTTGACCCAGGAATGGTGCAGTTGTGCATTATTCAATTTCCATGAGTTTGTAGGGTTTCTGTAATTTGTGTTGGTGTTGAATTAAAGCATTGTGGTTTGATAGGATACAGGGGCTTATTCCATTTTTTTGTACTTGTTGAGGTTTTCTATGTTGCTAAATATGTGGTCAATTTTAGAGAAAGTTCTATGTGGCAATGAGAAGAAGGTATATTCTTTTGTGTCCAGATGGAATGTTTTATAGATGTCTATTAAACCCAGTTGGGCCATAACTTTTATTAGTTCCTTTGTTTCTATGTTAAGTTTCTGTCTTCTGGTCATATCTAGTGTTGAGAGTAGTGTATTGACATCTCCCACTATAAGTGTGTGAGGTTTTATATGTGATTTGAGTTTTAGCAATGTTTATTTTATGAATGTAGATGCCTTTGTATTTGGGACATAGAAGTTCAGAATTGAGACTTCATCTTGATGGATTTCTCCTTTGATGAATATGAAATGATATCCTTCATCTCTTTTGATTGACTTTAGTTTAAAGTCTAATTTGTTAGATATTAGGATTGCTACCCCCGATTGTTTCTTGGATCCATTTGTTAGGAAATTTTTTTCCCAACCCTTAATTCTGAGGTACCATCTGTCTTTGAAGTTGAGATATGTTTCTTGAATGCAGCAGAAGGATGGATTATGTCTTTGTATCCATTCTGTTAGCCTGTGTCTTTTTCTAGGGGAGTTAAGACCATTAATATTGAGGGATGTTAATGACCATTGGTTGTTCATTCTTGTTTGCTTTGGATTCGTTGGTGGTGGTGGAATTGTGTGTGGATTTCCTCCCCGTTTTTCTTTTGGCTCTTGGTAAAGTGGGATTATCTATTGCCTATGTTTTTCTGGTTGTAGTTAACTTTCTTGGGTTGGAGTTTTCCTTCCAGTACTGTCTGTAGGACTGGATTTGTGAATATGTATTGTTTAAATCTGGTTTTAATGTGGAATATCTTGTTTTCTCCATCTATGTTGATTGAAAACTTTGCTTGGTATTGTAGTCTGGGCTGGCATCCATTTTCTCATAGTGTTGGTAGAATATCTATCCAGGACCATCTG